AACACTCCAAAATGGTGGAGCCACAAAGGCATATTTATAAGGTAAAATAAAAAATTGAAACTACATTCTGATTAGCAGTTGCAAGATCAGAGAAGCCAAAGAAGTGACAACTGTGAAGGGGGGTGCTTTGCAGTGATTGGTTGGAAACACTAATGTGGGCTATTTGGATTGATTAGTTTAAATATGTGACTAAGGGGGGTTTGACAGGGTGGTCATAAGATAATAATCTTAAAACATTTCCTGAGGGTTGCTGAGGGAATTTCTCAAAAGGAATTTTCTTGTGAATTCTTTTCTCCTGACAAGTGTATGAATAAATCAGGGAAGATACAATTTCCTTCCTTTTGTAGATGAAAATATGGAGGCACAGAGGAGATATGAGTAAATAGACCAAGGTCACTTCAGTGAGTTTTAGAAGCAGGACTGGCGTCTTCATGTCCTGATTCTTGGCAGGAGTTAGATCCATGAGTTGAATGTAAGGGGGATTGGGCCCAAGGGGCACTGAAGGGAGGGGGGCGGATTTAGAAGAATTTCTTGTGGGAGCAGAGAAAATGGAAGAGGCAACAAATGGGTAATTTTCTAATCAATACTACTGGCAATTCAAAAGAGAAAAAAATCATGAAGGGAAGGAAGCATTTTAAAGTTGCACAAGAATTGTATTATAACTGATTTAAAAAAGAATGGCTCAAAGCCGAATAATTTCTATTCAAAGTGGCTCTTTTGTCATTTGTTTTTCTGTCGGAGGCATGGTTGGTGGATTGATGTGAGCCAAATAAGTCTTTCTTAATAAAAATGACACGACATTGTTTTTTTTTTTGTTTTTTTTTGTTTTGAGGCTGGGGGTGGGGTGGGAAGCAATGAAATAATAAGTCAGAGCTTTTCAAAGTCTGGGGAAGGGACACACAGTAACACATACTGCAGACTTTCTCTTGGTCACACAACTGCTCCCATGCAATTCACTTGCTTATTTATTTAGCAGATTGCTAAAGTTAAAAATTACAGTTATTCTCCTTTTGAAACATATCCAGATACTAAAAAGTTACCATAACTATCACCATTTATTGAGTAACTATTATTTGCTACTCACACTGTGCTTTACATATGTTATCTCTAATTCTCATGACAAGACTGCAAAAAATTTGTTATTTTCTCTCTTTTATTTATGAGGGAACAGGTTCAGAAAGATCAAGTAACTTGCCTTAGGTCACACAGCTAGTATTTTGGTGAGTTGGCCTGTCTAACTCCAATTTGTGCTCTCTTTAATTTTACCACATAGCAAGTTAAAAGCTGTTTGTGAACTTGGGCGATTTATATATATTCTCTTGTTGTTGTTGTTGTGTGCCATCGAGTCACACCGACTCATAGCGACCCCTCCTTGGGTTTCTGAGGCAGTATCCCTATGGAAGTAGATTGTCCA